AGTCAAACAATTTATATACAACGAAAGAAGACTGAGACCACACAAAAGGCCACACCAGCTTGGTCTTCATATCTACTTACTTTGTTTATGTCCTGACTTCTGCATTAGGTTCGTAATCATGGCGAAAGCAATTGAGGCGGAAATCCATGTGCCAATGAAATATGAGCAAAACAAATCACCCACAAGTCAAAGCCAGTTATCTGTCAAGACCAGAGCAAAACAATCTGTTATAGCCGGCCCTATGTGATAAGGGAAAAGAGGTAAAGATTGAGCCACAAATATATGCTCCACTTTGGCTGATTCGAGGGCAATCTCAGGGTTCACATCAATACTTCTTTATATTGCATAGTCATCAATGAGCTTAAAATAATGTATATCGTAGCTCTGAGCTCCATGATATTGTGGCTTTTTGCTTGGTCCCAGACGTATTAGCTTTAAAGAGTTGGCCTGATCCCGTGTCCACAAGTCAGTTGTGAAGAGTGAGGAATCCGGATAGAGCGCTATGAGATAGAACAGGTACTAGGACAAGGAGAGGTGTGTCCGGTTGCAAAATAAGGAATACACCCAGCAACCGGTCCGATGCTGCAAGAACATGACAACAATGGTAGAGTAAGCCCTAAAGCATAAGTTCTTCGAAGTATCATTTAACACAAGAATAAGCTGCGAAAACGAGATCAAGACAACTTGAGATAGTTATTGTATATATGAAGACTAAAATGGCATGGCTCCAATTTAGATCAAAGTTTAATTTTACCGTGTAGAATTGGGCTGGTCTCGTTTTAACAAATTGTTGGTGGAGTCAGGAAGACCTCAAAAAAGATGCGCTGTACGGCGCTTTAGGGGTCATCGCCATCCTTAGCACCGATCTACAACTAGTCAAGTAGAAAAGAGAACAGTGATTCAGTAGAATATGAGGTATATAAGCGCTAGGCGATAAGGACCATAGATACCACAACTGTCCAGCAGAAAGTTGGCCACGACCTAGTTACAAAAAGGAAGCCAGGCCGAATGTGAAATAACTGTGCCACTTCCAAAATGGCATTTTCCAAGATCCATATTTCTTGTAGAATTGCTTTCAAGTAAATCGTCTAATGCATCCTGTGATGTTGGTGTTTGTAGTAGGTGCGTTCAGGTGCAGATTTCAGGAAGGCGATTAGCAACGGGGACGCGCTCATTCTCCAGTTTCTCAGGTCTCCGATTCAAGCAAGTTTGTAAGGAACCCTCAAGGCAACGGGAGTTAATGCACTCTTACTCGCCAGGATACCTAGCTGTCCCACACCTCGGAATTGTGCAAAACTGGAAGCAATTATTCCCGTTACGGCTCAACTCTTAGCCTCGAGCATTAAACCACCATTACAATGGAGCATTATCAGCTGCATTTAGTGCTTCGAGAAATTTCCGAAATAATAGTTTCACGCAATGACGGCGTCTGTCACATGATGGGCAGAAGCTCATGCCGGATGGTCTGGGTCGCAAGAGGGTGCGCCGAGGACATCTTCGCCTAAATCAACAGCCCTTCCGTTACGGGTGAGGCCAGCTTACCAATCTCCTCCACCCGTCACTTCAAGCGAAAGGAAAGGCACAACAACATGAAGTTATGAAGAGCTTGTCAGAAACCCGGTTCTTCCTCTTTTCTACATTTTGTTCCTCTATGAAGATGTTTATTTTGGCCAGCATTTGCAAGTAGATCTCCATCCTAGTCTGGAAGCAGCGCAAAGAACGAGTAAATCCTATCAAAGTGCCCTCCACGACATAAACTTCACGCTGTTTTCCAGGTCAATCCGGCATTGGTATCATCTGAGCCGAAAAATAAGCCTCTTTTCTTCGTGCCAGTGGGCGGATCTATAAGCTTATGGCATTAGGTTATTTAGATGTTTGCGCCATTATGTACAGTGGAATACAGGCCTGTTATACAGAGATAGACATTCTATAGCTTACTTTGACTTTTACTATAGAGGAGAATCTTGCTAGTTGCTCGCATGAATTAGTTTCAGCCACCTCACTAGCTAATCTTCCAAGGCCAACTTTGATGCTATTGACAAGGTCAAATCTCATGAGGATGTGTCATTAGAGCATAATTCTGAGGTAAGGGTATTTGATTGGGCTGATTTTCATTCAATGCAAAAGTGTGTAGCGAAGAGAATTGCGGGTTGACTCCGCCGAAACCGACGACTGACTCCTGCTGGTACACTCTTGCCTGCACCCCTCGAGACATCCTCCTTCAGTTCCGGTAAAAATGTGCGCAGCTGTCCGATTCTTCTCGACTCGGTGTAGTCTCGCTGGAGTCCGAAGGATAAGTAGAAATGCAAAATGAACGCAACAATCGCAGATACAATGTGGGATTTTCGTCCTCATAAAACAGCTTAGATTGGATCCTAGGTCTATGGGTCCAGAAAATGGAATTTTTACTTTTTAAATCAAACCTGCAAGCTCAAAGTAGGGGATCACTAGTTACCCAAATATAAGATAAGACACGCACACACATAAACGCACATAAAAGAAATAGATTAATTGAAACACTCGACACCTCATCGAGATAAAAATGATAATGGGTTCGCGGCCAGTCAGATTCCTTTGCTAGGGGTTTTAGTTATGCTTGTGCTCAGGCGAATCATCTCCCTCTGAAGATGTACTTCACATGACAAACGAAAGCTATAACTGATTTATCGGGGTCAAGGGAGGACGGGCCGATGACTGCAAGCTCAGATCAACGACCCAGTCACGCGAAATAACTACTCAAAAGTCAATACTTCTTAGATTTCTAGTAGGAGTGACACTTCCACCCAAAGTTCTCCATCAAATGAAAGGTAGAACGGGATTAACATCTGAAGAGTGTCCGAAAGCTATTCTTTTAGCCTATATCGAGAAATACTTTTTTCCAAAAATTTTACTGATATCATTACTTAACCAACTTGCTGCCAATTAAGAATAGTAGATAAAAACACAACAATATAATTATGTTAAAATGAATATAGAAAAAAAACAGACCCGAGTGTATTTTGACTTGTTTTTATTTCAAATGGTATATTTCGGCCAGTTGTTTAAGAGAGGTAGCTGCGAACCTAGACTAATCCACCGAAGAAGCCTTAGGATGGACTAATGGAACCGAGTATTTTGCTCTTTCTTTCTGATTAACGTAGAGAAATGTCCATTCAACGAAACCAGCCATTGTCCCTAAAGAAACCCAGGCCAGGCAAGTTAAACCAACGGACGGATGGCGGAGTCTCCTAAGAGTGCCCGACCCACACATGGTACATGTTTGCCTAATGCAAATCGGCACTGGCTATAGAACCTTTCAGCCCTCAAAGTGCCACAGCCGACAAGATACGAGGAAATTCACAAAGTTCTGTAAAACTCTAGAACAAGCCAACTCACAGTGGAGCATAGCGACGAGCAGAAGCCTGCTGCACATGCAACATGGTGGCTGTCGTGACCAGTACCGGAAACTCATCTGGGGGGCATCGTCAGGGCCAGTTTATGCAAGCTTTTCAGACAGAAGGTCTGCTGAGGGTGGCCTCATCTCCGGTCCGTGAAATCGCCGGCCGGAACAGATCGACTATCATTCTCTCTCGTTCTCCATCAGTGCACCCATACAGGTATGAGGCGATATCGTGCACACAAACACCCACTCAACCGGATTTCGCTTTGTGCGCGCGGAACTGGCGGCCAATCGCTCCGTCTCAAGCTGAGCTGCCCACCGCGTCTGCATAAAATGGCACTCTCGGCCCCAGTGATAAGCTTGCAGTTGCCTCCTTGGTACGCTCCAGAGTCATGGTACCAGCCGTCCTAATTCGGTGCTTCTTCCACCAAGAGGCGACTCGGGACATTGTTGAAGTGTAACCGGGTCCTGAAAAAGGATCCTTTATCTGATTAGGGTGTGCTTACTAAGGCTGGGCTCCGAAAGGTCCCTTAAAAAATTAAGATTCGCGCAAGTCCACGGTCCTAATCCAAAGTCGTTATCCTTCCGTTTCCTGCGAGGATCAAACACGGATACCCCTTAAAATCAGCTTGTCAACTTTGTTTAAGCCTCGAGTTCAGGTTGTAGCGACGGCGCCGTTGCGCAAGGCAGAGGGATGGAACCCAAAAAGACGAGGTAGCCTCTGAAACAGAAAGAGCGTTGCGACCAGACCACTCTACAAGCAGCCGCTGTCCAGTAGCATCACCCAGGCAACAGGTTTGGAATACGAGTAAAGGAATCGCCTAGGGATATTTAAACTTTGGGGCGCCTGCTCAATCAGGCTTAAGACCGTCCAGGCAAGGTTTGTGTGCTGTCTGCATGCAGAAGCAGATGAGACGCATCAACTGTGAGGCATTCGAGGAGGTTGCGAGCCCCGGACACCCGGTCGAATGCGAGTTGGCTGACTACAACGGGTTACCAAAGCATTGAGACAATGTGCATGTGCGTGTGTGTTAGCCAAATTATGTTAACTTGCTAAATCCAGAAGCGCGCCGAAGCTACTGGAGGTGTCAAGAGGGGTACAAGCAAAGTGGTGGTTGTGGTGGTACAGCCCAGGTGTGTGAAACCCTGGAAGCGTGATTAAACAACTGAGGGCGCTAGTGACACCGTACTGAATGCACAGATGTCAGATCGCCTTGGAGTTGAGACCGTTTGAATTGTACGAGGCTGCTCTCGGCGAACCCGATTCATACGTGTTGAGCGTTTGTCTGACGCACCGTGACAGACGTCGTCAGAGCTTGAGGCCATACGTTCAGAACTCTTGACAAAACAGTAAATAAACCAAGGGTACCGTCTGCCCCGCCGGGGCAGATGGGTAGTGGTAGCAGGACGGCGTACAACTACTTTACGGTGATCCTTATTCGGTGTTTGTGTGTGTGTGAGAGAGAGTTAAGAATTTCCCTTTCAACAGACTTTTTCATCGAAATGAAAATGTCATTGACATGAAAACAAGGAAGGAGTTGTGTAAATATGTTGTCAAGATTTCATCAGTTCATGAATATGAATTTTTATGCAAAGAAAAGTTGAGTTTCGAGGAATCTCTTGTTTCACAATTGTTGAGCTTACTTCCATTTCGAGTGAAAGGGTTTGATGAAGAGATTTCAAGGTCGATCCCACCAGAAAACGAGGACGGATTCCTCCCGTCTTTAGTGGAACTTTCTTGTTGACGCTGTTTCCGAGGCAATATTTTTCGATTCCAGCGAAAACGTGTTAAGCTTTCAAATGTCGTATGACGGACATCATTAGAGCAGAGTATCATACTTACAAGCATATTGAGGCTAACGAGTCAAGAAAACTCATCGTCTCATCACTAAATGCTGTATATATATGTATATATATATATATATAATATTAGAGCATTTTGACGAGGTATAAAGCGATTTGGTTAGTTCAAGTAATATATGCCAACCTCGAAGCATGTGAATGTGCCTGTCTGTCTGTGTTAATGTGCCTTCATGTGTTCCCATATATGTACGAAACCAGCAGTGGTGGCTGGTGAACATTTGTTCAACGGAATCGAAGGAGACGGCCTCAGAAACAGCATCAAAAACAATGTTCCAGCAAGAGGAATCTGCCTTCATCTTCTGGTGGGATCGATCTTCGAATCTCGTCACCAAGCACTTTCACTTGAAGTGTAAGTAAGCTCAACAATTATGAACGTTTGGTCAGCTTAGGTTGGATACGGCAATTGAAATGAGTAGACCACGCCACGCATTAGATTGCCATGACAACCCATGGTTCGAGGAGTAAGGGATAAACGCAACTGCGATGGCAGTCAGGGAATGTCTACTGAAAAAGAGCTGTATTCATCTGAGGTCGTCTAAGGTAATGAAGTGGAGGTAGTTGGCTTTCCATACAATCATATGATTTCACTTTCAACCCGCCTTATCTTCCAGACTTCAATTGACAGCAGTTTCCACCTCGCATTAGCCTCATTTGCACCGCCAACGCAAATCGAAACCAGGTAGCATCGAACACAAATACTTTCGGCCCGTCATCGTCGTACCAACCGGCCGCGAATGTGATGTGTGTCACGAAACAGACGTGAATCACCAGACAAGCCAGGTCTCGAGCAATCACACCTTTGTGGTGGAAGTGCCGATGTGGCAAACTTGTATTTCCCATCACAATCGACTATATTACTTATATTAAGAGTGAGAAGGGCTTGCAAGTATGAGTAGATGTGGAAGACAAGTGTTAGTTGCTATAGGTCTCATAAGGCAACGGGTCGGACTCTCTGCTTATTGCATTTCAGTTTCTAGCCTTAATGGCGTTGGAGACGATCTGTGATTGTTGAGAATCAACTTAGTCACTCTGGGTTGGGATGGTTGAATTTTTCCCACAATGTGATGAGTAGGCCTTAAGATGTTATTGAATATCACTTGACCTTGTACTGCAGGGTCTCATCGAAATCTACTCAATGGGAATATGCGTACCGGACAGTGAGACATAATATTGTTTGGGGGGACTTTCATTTCGTATGAAAGTGTATGAAGAAGAGATTCGTAGGTCGATCTCACCAGATGAGGACGCTCAGGTTGACGCAGCAACAGTTGAGCTCGACCTACCAATCTCTTGTTCATGCACCTTCCTACGAAATGAAAGTCCCCCTAACGATGTTATCTCAGAAGACTCATATAAACCCAGTTTCTCCTCGTATCTACAGTGACACGGGAACGCTAGTCGGAAGGAATTCGTGCATCTGTCTGACCGGAAAGCGAGGGAGGATGAGCGCTTTCGAGTGAAGATGATTAGAATGGCAGGAGGGTGGGCCGGTGGGATTGACGAATTCCCTCGAACTGAAGAGTCATGACTAGGGAAGAGGAGGGGATCAAGAGGCTCGGTAGGTGAGTGTACAACAGGAAGCAGAAGCGACTGTTGCTGGGCTTACATGCGAGACAGGATCGCGAGAGGGGATCGTTAAAGACGCGCACCTCCGTCAGCAGTTTGCCGAGCTCATCGGCGAAGGTGACCGTCTTCCTGAGCTTCTTGCGCGGCTCGGCGAGCCCCAGCGACGCGTCGCTGGTCTCGGGCGAGCTCGATTCGAGCGCCTCGAACGAGGCCGGCTCGTCGAGCGACGAGTCGAGCAGACTGTCGGCCCCAGTCGCCTCTTCGCCGCCCAGCACGGGCGTCGCGAGGACGGCCGGAGCCGCGGTCTCGACCGTCTCGACGGCCTCTACGGTCGCGAGGGTCTCGGCGCACGCGAGAAACGCGTCGGGAGAGCCCGGCTCATCGAAGCTGTCGTCGTCTTCGGCCAAAGAGGAGGGCGAGCCGAGCGGCTTCGGCGGCTGCTTGGCCGAGGCCCAGTCGAGAGCGGCCTTCGTGTCGATGGCCGTCGACAGGTCGCCGTCGCTCAGGCAATGGCGGCGTCGCGGCCTCAGCCCCGACACCGGCCTCGCCCGGCCCGACTCGCCCGCCTCCGGCGAGTCCGGCTCTCCCGTCTCCGGGCCGTCCGTCGGCCCGGACACGAACAGGCTGGAATCGGGTGACCCGCGCACGGCCGAATGGGGCGCCGGGTCCGGGGCGACTTGGCCCGACCGGGGCGTGGGGTCGCGATGGGCGAACGCGCTCGCCAGTTTCCGTCGCAACAGGCCCGAGAGGCCGACGTACTCGCGCAATCCGTCCAGCCAGTACCAGTGCGGCGAGGCGGGCCGCGTCGCTCGGCTGCCCGCCCCCTCCTCCTCGTCGTCGTCGTCGTCGTCGTCGTCGCCGTCGCCGTCGCTCTCGGAGCTCTGCCAGGCGTAATCGACCGGCGGAATGGGGCGCCAGGTGCCGGACGCGACGCTCTCCTCGCCGTCGCCGTCGGCCTCGAGGTCGGCGTGTTTGACGGGCCTCGAGGCGACGGAGCCGGACGCAGACGCGGGGGCGGAGGCGTATCTGGCGAGCCGTCGGCGCAGCAGCATCGGGCCGCTCGATAGTTCACTGCGCCGGTAGGCGGTCTCGTTCAGGTCGACCATCGAGCCCGTCCAGCTTCTGCTGCCGTTCTGCACGAGGCCCAGAGTCAGCGACATTTGACGGCTTCGTGATCCACACGCGCGGGCAAATAACACTCTCGCCCGCTGTGGCGCTGGCCGCCGTGCTACTGCTGTTGCTGCTG